AGGCAAAGAGAGTTTGGGGTTCAGGATGGGAAATGAGGCTTTGAGAAACAGACAAACATGCAGAAAATCTGATCAGCATTCACTTTTTTAAAAAAAATATGTCTTTATTGATTTCAGAAAGAGGGAGGGAGAGAGAGAAACATCAATGATGAGAGAGTCATTGATTGGCTGCCTCCCGCACACCCCCTGCTGGGGATGGAGCCTGCAACCTGGGCATGTGCCCTGACCAGGAATTGAACCATGATCTCCTGGATCCTAGGTCCAGGCTCAATTGCCACACCTGGCCAGGCTGCATTCATTTTTTTCGACAGAGTTCAAATAAATTCTCCCCAAGTCATGCTAGCTCTTTGAAATAATTCTTAGTTTGCCCATCCAGCCCTAGAAGAGGATTGATCCAGGCTAGATCGCCCAGGGTGTGTGCTTATAATCCCAAATGAAGAGGAAAAATATCCTTATGGGAGTGGTGAATTCTGTGCTCATTCCAAGAATCTTTATTTCTATGTGTATGAAACCCCATGTGTGTAAAAGTGGTTCCATTAGGATTGCTTTCCTGAGGAGAGATCCTTCCCTCACATTTAACTGTAGTGAGAAAAACCCCAAACCTTATTAAACCTAAAGTCAAAGATTTGTTTTTTTTATACTCTTTCTCTCTGCAAGTGATGTTAAATAAGGCTGTAAAGCATTTATGAGGAAACAAAGAAAGTTGTTCAGAAAACTGGAGTTTCCTTTGCTAACTCAGCTTGGCAATAATATGGAGCAGAATCAAAGCATCCAGCCAAAATAAATCCGCACAATGGAGCTATCAGATATGAGGTAATAGTGTGACATGCTTGTGAGTATCAGACATTCTTGTAAAAACCACAGACCTAAAATTTTGGTCCTGCACCATTAAGCCACAGCTCTGCCAAGCAACAACGCAGAACACACGTTTTAAATCACTGTTGCAAGCCAAATGTAATTCCCACCAAAAACAATTAAATCTTTTACCAGAGGTCTGAGTCTGGGCAGCTTGCACCCTGAGAATCTGAATCTCATTTCAGTGTGAAAATGAGATGGTTATTGTCAGATCAGGAGGAAATGTCAGCTGCAAAATACAGGGCTGCCAAATGACTGTAACTTGAAGTGATGTTTGTTAAGGTTAGATTGAGAAAGGGTTAGCTAAGAAATCTGTGTAGATCCTTTTACAATGTTCATTTTTAATGATTAGAAATATAACTCATGCTCACTCTAGGGAAGTTGGAAAGTATGTAAGAATGCATAGAATAAAATATAATTTTAGTCTCAAATAACTCAGATATAAACTTTATAACATCTTACTACATTTACTTTTGGCCTTTTACACACACAGCTGCTTCGGAGAGTATGTGTAAATTTGGATCGTTGTATGTTTTTAGTGTTTTGCTTTTTAATTTTAACTTTATACTTTAGTATTTCCCATCCCCTTATATATTCTTCAAAGACAGGATATTTAATGACTATACAATAATCCATTTGTTTGGCTATACCATAGTTTATTGAATGTATGTTCACTCTGTAGGTTGTTTCCCACTTACTGCTAGTATAAATAGTATTTTAGATAAATCAGTTATTCACATCTGTAATTACTTTTTAGGGTGGAATTTTAGAAGTGGAATTATGGGGACCAAGGGTAGGAGCTTTCTGGGGCTCTGGATATATATTGCCAGCTGTTTTCCAGAAAAGTTATCTACTTCCACAGGCTGTGCCTGTGATTGTCTGTCTCACATGTCATTTGTTAGTAGCAAGAATGTCTTCGATCAGGGGTAGGTATGGATAGGGGAGAATGCAACACACTCTGTGGTTCATTATTTCTAAATGTCAAATTATTTATTAAACAGCACCAGTATGTGTCCAGCATAGGTCCTGGCACCGAGGATTTAGTATTAAACAAAAGAACCCCGAATTCCTGTCTTCAATGAGCTTACATTTTTACTAGGGAGCAAAAAATAAAATAAATGAGTAAATCATATGGGATGTTAGCCGATAAGTGTTATGGAGAAAAATAAAGCAAGAAAAGGAGACGGAGGCTGGCCAACGTGGCTCAGTGGTTGAGCATCGACCTATGACCCAGGAGACTGCAGTTTGATTCTTGGTCAGGGCAGAGGCCCGGGTTGCGGGCTCGATCCCAGTAAGGGCCGAGCAGGAGGCGGCCGATCAATGACTCTCTCTCTTCATTGATGTTTCTATCTCTCTTTCCCTCTCCCTTTCTCTCTGAAATCAATAAAGACATATTTAAAAAAGGAAGAAAGAAAGAGAGAGAAACAGAAAGGAAGGAAGGAAGGAAGGAAGGAAGGAAGGAAGGAAGGAAGGAAGGAAGGGAAAGGGAGATGGGCCGTGTGGGTAGGGACAAGGAAGGGGGAGCACTGCGCGTTGCATAGTTTGTAGATACTATTGAGATATTGGTAATTTTCCAACTTTGAGTACATTTCCTGGTTTCTTGTAAGAGGTTTGTTAAAAAGTAAGCTAGAAAGTATTGAGCTCCAAAATCCAAATTAAGTATTTGAGGAACTCTGTAATCTTAGTCATAAAAGGTATTAAATGTATATTTTTGTTATTTTAAAGAAATGTCTATTTTTTGTTTATTATTTTTATCCTACCTTAATTCATCCATTAAAGACAAGTTAGTTATACACCAGCAGCAGACTGAAGGGGACTTTTGTATCTCTATTTGTTGCTCCATTTCCTTGTTTATTATTTATTAAAGGAGAGCAGGGAGAGAAAAGGCTTCGTAAGTGGAGGGTGAAAGGTAATAAGGGTAGGGAAGTAAGCAAACACAAGGAAAAGAGAGAAATAATTAGAAACCCAGTTCAGAGCAAAGGTCCGTTCCTGCCGGTCAGAGTACCTTGGTGAGTATGGTCTGAGCTTCCTACCCAGGGCCATCCGGGGTTACTCAGGGTATGGTGCAGTCTACTAGAGTTGGGTGTAAATCCATCTCATTTCTGCATTTGGTTTTCCACCAGAGAATTAAAAACAACCTTCATTCTGTGTTTGGGAAAAAACAAAAAACAAAATTTATTAAGCTTCTCTTGGTTCTTTGCAGTTTTATCACTCTCCGAAGACTCTTTTTAATAAATAAATAAATAAATAAATAAATAAATAAATAAAGCCAAGACCTCTAGTCTCCTGTCTTAATTTTGGCATGATTTAGGAGAACTTTAAAGCAAAGCTAAGCAAAGAGATTGAAGGAAAAGTAGATTTCTTAATCCTGAGGTTTGCAAAGTATAATCTTCTTAATATTTATTTTATCAAAGATTTAGCTTTTTACCATATTTGAAAGTTTTAAAAACTGAATTTTTCTTCTGAGAAGAAAGAAAAATTATAGATATTCTCTAGTATAGTTATTATACACTTTTAAAAGCCATGGTGCTGTTGGGAGCAAATAGTAGGACCATTGTTTTGCAAGCTCTGAAGTGAGAATTGCCTTGATTCTTAGATATAGTTCTTCCTTCTCTGACTTTAACTTTCTCAAATAAAATCTCTTAACTCATCGTTTCAAATCACAGACTTATTTTAAATTTCATTCAAGGAAAATCTAACAGACCTGTAGGCCTAGAAAAGATGGTCATGTTAGCCATTGTTACATAAATCTGAATATGTATTTCTACCATATGAAGGAAGCTTGTCGACATTGTCTTGTCAGTGTTAGATTTGATGTAATACCACAGTAGGCAAAGCATAGCGGGAAAGTGATGCTCAAGTTGAGCAAGAAAGACACTGAACAAACAAAATTGTCCCATTCTAATTTCTAGTTAAGAGACCCAAGTCTAGGAAAGTGAACTCTTATTTATAGTCCAATATTATTTTCATCTCATCAATGTCTGTTATTTTTGAATAGGGATAGGGGCTGTGTTTTTCATATAATTACTGATTGACATGGAAGCAGTATTTAAAGTAACAAAAAATTAAACATAAACTGAAGGGTCCTGGATGCTTAATATATCTAAGGTTGAAATTACTCCCAATACTGTTCGAGTGTTGTAAGAGATAATGCTTAACAAGCATCCCGAAGAGGACTTTATTCATTGGAGGTGCTGAATAAATGGCATGTATTACGATAATAGAAGGCAAAAGATATTTCCAGTTATTTATCGTTGCTTAGAATGGGGAACCAATAGATACCATCTAAAGATAGAGATAGAAAGGAAACCAGTAGAAAAACATCAAATCAATTAAATCCTTTTCAATTAGTATCTGAAATTCATTACACAAAAATACCCAAACATATTTATAGTAAGATATATTTTAAAAGGTTATCTTTTATATCAATATGTATAAATGTGATGCATGTTCCTATTAAGAAAAAAACAACTTCCAGATTAGATCATAAAGCAAGACACAACTGTATGGTGCACATAAGAACACATCTCAAACAGAATAACTCAGAGAGGTTGAGTATAGAATGATGTGTGCAGGTATAGCAGGTAACTACATAAAATAAGTAGAGCAAATATCTCAATTTTTTAACCAAATAAATGAATTTGGATTAAATGATTACTTTAAATAAGACAAAGAAGGGTACTTTATAGTGGTAACATAGAAAAGAAAGAATACGAATTTAACTGTACTATAATCACAACCATATAAATTCTACGTGCCTATAAAGGCTGGAGGAAAAGGATGGATCAGAGTGATAAGATTATGGATCTTTTTATTTGTTCCACTTTCATTAATGCTGTTATAATTGATAATAATAACATGATTAATTTCTTAAATTGAGCACTGATTATATATTTAGAAATGTAGAGTAAAATTCCTGAGCTATATGTCATTGCTAAAGAAAAAGTACATATTTGTTGGAGAGATACATATGTTATCCACTCAATATAAAAGTCTCTTTCTCTACTACCAAAATCATTTTAACTAGATGTTAAAGGGAAACTGTTTAGTCCATTCTAATTTGATCATGAGTTAATGCCACTGTCACCCTTATAATATGCTCTCTTTGCCTATCAAGTAGTCATCCTCTCCCTCCATTTTTGCAGCAATATGAGAACTGGAGGCCCAACCAGCCAGACAGCTTCTTTTCTGCTGGAGAAGATTGTGTTGTGATCATTTGGCATGAGAACGGCGAGTGGAATGATGTTCCCTGTAATTACCATCTCACCTATACATGCAAAAAAGGAACAGGTAATAATCACCCCATTAATAATGTAGACTTAATCTACATTTTCTTTACCAAGTAAACACAGGAAGACTAAGCTTCATTCTTTAAAACACAGACTGTGTATTTCTTGTTGCTCTGGAATATTTCATTCTTGCAATACAATTAAAAAGTTTGTTTTCAGTAATATTTACACCATAAATTTCAGGTGCTTAAGATAACAATGCAGTATTTATGTAGAAAAACTATCTCCAACTATCTTTAAACACACACACACAACAACAGCAATGGCCAGCCCAAGAGCTAAAGAACCTGTTTGGTTTGAAGAGGAAGGCATTAAAAAAATTGGGATATATAATAAAATATTCTGGATTTTTTTACTTTAAAAAAAAAAAGCACACCCAGCCGGGCCTGGCTCAGCGGTTGAGCATCAACCTAGGATCCAGGCGATCGGGGTTTGATTCCTGGTCAGGGCACATGCCCGGGTTGCGGGCTCGATCAGGGTTCGGTTCCCGGTCAGGGCACATGCCTGGGTTGAGGGCTTGATCAATGACTCATCATTGATGTTTCTGTCTCTCTCTCTCCCTCTGCTTTCCTCTCTCTAAAATCAATAAAGATATATTTAAAATAAATAAATAAATTTTTAAAAAAGCACAGCTGGTACCATTTGACCCTGTTCAAATGTTTCCATGGTTTGACGCCCTGGAGCTGAAAACCATTGCTCTCCTCAGAGGGACTATGGCCTGCAGTTCATTGCAGTCCTTGTTCAGCCCTCCCTGTTTTTAACTGCCTGGTCTCTGTAGGCTGTGAGTTTTTATTTTTATTTTATTTTTTAAAAAATATGTCTTTATTGATTTCAGAGAGAGGAAAGGAGAGGGAGAGAGAGAGAGAGAGAGAAACATCAATGATGAGAGAGTCATTGATCGGCTGCCTCTTGCACGCCCCGGACTGGGTATCGAGCCTGCAGCCCGGGCATGTGCCCTGACTGGGAATCGAACCCCAATCGCCTGGATCCTAGGTTGATGCTCAACCTCTGAGCCACGCCCGGCCGGGCGGCTGTGAGTTTTTAAATCATTTCCTTAGAAGTTTATTGAATGCTCATAAACCATGAGACAGTTGAATGCCTTCAAGATGCAGTCAAACAAAAGCAGTTGTTAATGTAAGTTCCATAATGAGGAGAATTGCTTAGTTGCCATTAAACAGATAAAATTAAGAATGCTGGTTTTTAAAAAATGTGTTGTGTTTATGATTGACCAGTATGTTTGAATTTCTAAAGCACACCCTATAGACTTCTGCCTTAAACCGATAGGAATTCAGTAAGCTAACTTTTAAACCTGTTTGCAGTGGTGGTAAAGTGTGAATATTTTAGTCCCTATATCTAGACTTTTACCCACCTCAGGTAAGAGTTTAAAGTACAAATGCAAAATAAAAAATCCATTTGATTTGGTTTTGAATATAAAAATAATAAAACTAAAATTCACTCTATAAATATTTCAAGAAACATCAATAATGAGAAATGCTATTATAATAAAGAGAACACTAAGATACACAAAGCTCAGACAAAACTCACCTGTTATTTGTGACTGCTTTTGCATTCTCTGATCTAAAGAGGAGTTTGTTGTGAATATCCTTCCCACGCGAGCCGCTTTCCTGACCACGTGCATTACTTCAGCACTTCTGCAGTGGGACTTGTGAAAATGGCAAATCAAGTGTCTGTTTTCGCTGCTTCTAATGTAAGAAGTCTTTAATGACCTGTTCGTCTTTACCCAAATGTCCTGTTTGCTTTCTCAGATCTCCAAAGAGTCCTTGGAGTCATGCTTTTGATTTTATGATCCTAACCTTCTTCTATTTCCTATGTTAATTTTTCCTGCAGCAGGGTTGCTCAGCACCAGCACTGTTGACATTCTGGGCCTGATAATTCCTTGCTCTGGGGGGCGGTCCTGGGCATTGCAGAAAGTTTAGCATCTTCTCTACCCTCTGTGCGCTGAAGGCCACGGGCATTCTCCTTCGCTCCACGTTCCTCTCCTCTGCTTTGTGACAACTGAAAATGTCTCTAGAAATTGCCAACTGTCCCTGTGGAGGAAGCAGAAGAAAACTACCCCAGGGTTGAGAACCACTGTCCTATAGCTAAAAAGCATTCACAAAACCAGCATCACAATTTACATCTCCCGATGGGGAAAGAGATTCATAGAATGCTGGCTCTACCTCATTAAAGGAGAAAACAAAACAAAACAAAACAAAACGATCTTTGTAATTTATCTCCCTACTGTCTGATTTTTATTTATGTGGATTTAATTTTTGTTAATCAGTACTCTGGGGAATTATATGAATTTTATATGTGTCTATATAAAAGACACTCATTTCTCCTTTCAGATAATATAGGCATCTTAAAACATATGGACCTAAATAATTCTACTTTTAATTAAATGCCTGTAAAGGAGGATGATAATATATATAAAAGGTGTGTGTGTATTTATATATATATGTGTGTATATATATATATATTTATATATATATATAAAAAATTAAAAGAATGCCTCAGTGAATACTATCCACAGTTCTCTGGAGCATCCCGTAGGTTCTGTCCAGTCTCATCTATTTACCTCCCAATTCCAACCATAGATAATGACTTAGTTCCTTACTTTTCTCTTTAGTGTTATCACATATGTTTGTATCTGGAAAGAACACATTTTTTAGCTTTGCACATTTTAAAACTTTAAGTGGAATCATACTGTCTGTACTTTGTGCCTTGCTTTCTTTTTGTTGAGCATTATGTGTGTAAGGTTTATCCATGTTGATGCATGTAGCTGTCCGCCTTCATTGTTGCTGCTGTATGGTATTTCATTGAATGACTATATAACATTTTATTTATCATTTCTCCTGTCAGTGGACATTTGGGTTCCAGTAAGTGTTTTTGCTATTGCAAACAATGTTTCTGTGGACATTCTTGAACTTGTTCCTGGTAGACATTTATGAGTTTCCATAGAGTATTTTTCCAGGAGTGAAGTGCTGTGTCATAGGATATATGTACCTTCAGATTTACTAGAAAATGCCAAATTATTTTCTGATGTGGTTGTACCAGTTTGCACTCTCACCAGCAATGTGTGAAAGGTCCTGTTACTCCATATCTTCGCCAACATTTGGTATTTTTGGACTTTGAAATTTTTGCCAACCTGGTGGGTATAAAATGTTATCTCTTGTTATTTAATTTGCATTTTCTTGAATACTTTTTCCTTGATATTGTTTCATACACTTATAGGTCATTCATGGTTTTTCTTCTGTAAAGTTTCTGTTCATGTCTTTTACTTACTTTTTTTTAAATTGGTTGCTTCTCTTTTTACATATTGATTTGTAGCAATTATTTTTATATTCTGATTAGTAATCCCTTGATAATTAGATATATTGCAAATATCTTCTCCCAGTTTGTAGCTTGTCTTTACTCTCACCCTATGGCATTTTTTTGATGAACAGAATTCTTCAATTTGTTACATTTTTCTTTATGATTTAAACCATTTTTATCTCAAGAATTCTTTTCTACCCTAAAATCATAAAGATATTCTATTTTGTTTTCTAAATGTTTTATAGTTTTGCCTTTTATAGTTATACATTTAAACCATGTAAAATTGATTTTCCATGTGTTCTCTGAGGTAAGGAACCAAGTAAATTTTTTCCATAAAAATACTCAATTGTCCAAGTGAAAAAGTTACTTTTCCTCACTGCTTTGCTATGTTGCTTCTGTCAAATACCATGCATATATGTGGGGATCTACTTCCGGTCTATTTGCCTGTCCTTGCCAATACCATACTCATTGAATTCTTTAGCTTTATTAAATGTTCATATATAACTAGTTTTTTAAGAAATCTGTACATTACTTTCTCCACAATTATAAAGACAACTTTTAATTTGTCAACATAGTACAGAATTAAGTATAATGAACTACTTAGTTCACAATTTTTAATCTTCTGTGTCAGTTTGATCTCATTCTATCTGACACTTCCTAGTACCCAGACTGGGATTATCACTGAACCACATATGTTGTGTAGTTTATTAATTGAAAATGATATATTATTATATAAATCTCTGCTTTAGGAATTTGTGAAGATCAAATACATGCACAGACATTTCTAATTTTTTAGTTATATATAGTATGACTTTATAATCTATTTTTAGGTTATGTCTATCTGAATGCAATTCTTATATTAATTAAAAGAAGTGCTTGGATTGTGTTTTCTTAAAGACACCGTTGTCTGCTATGGGTCAGTACACCTCAAGCTGTTCTGTCAGGCAGAAGTCAAGTAGAGGGACTGAATATATAAGTTAAACCCAAATTTGTCATTGCAAAAGCTTATGGTTGCAAACAACCTTATGAATATGTAAATAAATTTAATATTTATAAATGTTTAATATTAGGATGTTGACATTCAATCATCTTGGTCCCGAGGTTTCTGGAAATCATCCTCCCAGTGAAAAGCTGCATTATTTTATGAGAGAAAAAAATATGTTCTTGTCATGGGCCTTGTGGTGCCAGAATTCTTAAGAATTGGATAGGAAATGCCATTCAGGGAAATTATATTTGAGTTAATTTATATTTTTATAAAAGATATATAGCAAAACACAGTCGCTTAATAAAAGTTAATTTTTAAAGTATATCATTTAAAACAAGTACACCAATGTTGAATAAAAGTCAAAGTTCAAATTCAGTTGAATCAATTTTCCCAGCCTCTTGAATTTCAAAATTGCAAGGTTTCTGTTACTTCTATTTCTTTTTTATTATTTACTATTTCTAAGTTTGTTGATATTTAGAATTTTTATTGTAAGTTAAAAATTATAAATTTTCCAAGATTTACCTTCATTACCCTTCTCAAGAATTTGAATTTAAATTTTTAAGATAATTACAAAACTAAGCATGAATATTATGTTCTGACTTTCCCTCTGTCTCCATGCAGAAGTCAAAAAAGAGTAAATAGAACCAGAGATATTTTATTGATACTTAAGAGTCCATATTTTATCCATATTTTGGCCATGTTTTATCCATATTTTAAAACTATGATCTTATTTTAGATTTTAAGTTTTTCAGGGAAGTGACAATAATAGTTAATTGTTATAAAGTCCTTATTTTTCCAAGTGAAGGTGGGAAGTAAATAAAAACTTTGGGATAGTGATGAAGACAATACCACCTAGCTGCATGAGACTAGTGCTTTTTAATTGGGAATTTTTCCAGAAAAGTGACCATTTAGCCCTATGGTTCTTTAATAAAATACAATTCAAAATGACATAATCTGAGATTCAAATTAAGCCCAGCCCCTCAATATTTACTTTATTTTTCTGGAATACTTTCAATTCGTGAATTCTAAGTGACTGCTTTTGATGATGGTGCTTGGTGGCTTACATAAAGACCGAAAGAGATAAAAAGAGACTCATGCTGTTAGAAATATTTAGATTATTTGGAAATAACTTAATTTACTTTTCTTTAGTTGCTTGCGGCCAGCCCCCTGTTGTAGAAAATGCCAAGACCTTTGGAAAGATGAAACCTCGTTATGAAATCAACTCCCTGATTAGATATCACTGCAAAGCTGGTTTCATTCAACGCCACCTTCCAACCATCCGTTGCCTAGGAAATGGAAGATGGGCTATGCCTAAAATTACCTGCATGAACCGTAAGTGGTACTTTAGAGAGAATGGACAGCCGTGCTCTAACGACTCCTAGACACCTTCATTTTTCAGCTGCGGTGTTGGCAGTGTAGGGTATGGAGCAAGTAATATTGTTGTGTTTTCTTTCTTTCTTTCTTTTTTTCCTTCCATGTAGCATCTGCATACCAAAGGACTTATTCTAAGAAATACTTTAAAAATTCCTCCTCATCAAAGGACAATTCAATAAATACATCAAAACATGAGCACCATTGGAGCCGGAGGTGGCAGGAGTCCAGGCGCTGATCCCTATAATGGCGAACATGTGTTTTCATCATTTCAGCCAAAGTCCTAACTTCCTGTGCCTTTCCTATCACCTCGAGAAGTATTATCAGTTGCTCTGGATTTTTGGACCACCGTCCAGTCATTTGGGGTTGCTGCGCTCCCAGAAACATCCTAAGCGAAAGCATTGGCCTTCAGAAAGAAAGCAAACGAGATGAAGGCAAACGAGGGCGGAGAGAAACCATTTGCAGCCTACGCGATTTCTTTAGTTTCCTCTGGCCTCCCGCAGGCCGTTTGATCGTGTGGACCAGCCTACTGTACTATTTAAAAAGCTCCATTTCAGCACCAATGGCAATGTAAATAAGATGATTTAATGTTGATTTTAATCCTGTATATAAAATAAAAAGTCACACTGAGTTCTGGCATATTTAATGATGATTATGGAGCCCGAGAGGTCTTTAATCATTGGTCTGGCTGCTTTGGGTAGTTTGTTTAGGCTGGAAATGGTTTCGCCCGCCCTTTGACTGGCAGCGAGACCGAGGACGGCTTTCCCTGGACAGGGGACAAGCGCGGGCCTGCGGGCGCTGGAGCGGGGACTGCGATGTGGAACTTCTTCGCTGCCTTCCTCTTTTCCTCACTTACAAGAAAGGCCTGAATGGAGGACTTCTCTATGACCAGGAGCATTTTTAGGGGTCGAAGTGCTAATTATTAACTCAACCAGGTCTACTTTTTAATGCTTTCCTAACACTAACTTGCAAGGTTCCAGATCAACACATTTCAAGGGGATAGAGACCCAGGGCTCTGGAGGGTGGGGGATTGTTACAACAGCAACACACGTTCAAAGAAAGAAATTTTGTATATATAACCATTTTAATCTTTTATAAAGTTTTGAATGTTCATGTATGAATGCTGCAGCTGTGAAGCATACATAAATAAATGAAGTAAGCCATACTGATTTAATTTATTGGATGTTATTTCCCCCCAGACCTGAAAATTGACCTAGTGTGCTAGTTATTTTCCAGTGCTAGCCCTTGTACTTTGCTCACACAGTTTGGAACCGTATAATCTTAGGTCCTTTGTCCCTGATTAAATAATGTGATGGATGGAATGCATCAAGTGTTTATTATGAAAAGAGTGGAAAAGTGTATAGCTCTGAGCAAATGGTGTCTGCCGATTCTAAGCAAGGAGCATATTATAGAGAAATAGTTAGGTGTATGTGTTAAAATGTCTTCCTTTCTCTTTCCACTCGTTTTCTCCCCTTTCTTTGAATAAACTGACTGCCGAAGATGACTTTGAATTACTATCCGTTTAATTTAATGTTTAAATAAAAATCTGTCATGAAAAGAAGGCATTTAGGAGTCTTTCCCTAATTTCAGTTAGAATGACCTTGGGAAAAGTAGACAACATATGAACTGCAAATAGCAAAAGAACAGCCCCAACACTGATTCTTTTTACGCACCCTCCTTTGGCGTAGAGGAACCCCGGTAGCTACAGTCATTCACAGTGTCTGAGCAAGGCCCCGTGGTAGCTGTGTTAACTGGGACCCACCGCCGAGTGTTCCAGAGCTCAGAACAACACTGTGTCGACCTACTAGGATTTAATTTTTCCTCTTTTATTACAATGCACATAATACATCCTGTATTTATATTATACCATGTATAGTGTAAAATGTGAACGATTGTGTTTTTTTTGTGAATGAAAATCTAAAATCTTTGTAACTTTTTATACCTGCTTTTGTTTCACCAAAGAAACCTAAAGTCCTTCTTTTACTATACTGTGACTGGTCTGGTTATTTACAACTTTAAATCCTAATGTGCACCAACATTTTTACATTCTGGTTCTCTCACGGAGTACAAGCTGCACAGATAAAATGATTTTGTGGCTAGCGGAGAGGTGAATATATATGTCCCTGCAAAGAATTGACATAATAATTCTGATACTGTTTACATCCACACACATATGCATTAATCTCAAATATGAAAGAAACATACAGTAGGAAAAGCGATAGCTCAGATTTGCCGAATGCTTCCTATGGACCAGGTTGAATGTTTCATGGGCATCATCTCCCAATAAGCCTGTGAAAGAGGTGCTGTTACTCTCTGATTGATGAGGAACCAGGTGTAGAGAACTTAAGTCATTTGTCCAAAATTACGCAATTAGTTTGTAGTGGATGTAGGTAATCTCTAGAGCCTGCATGATATTCTCAAGAAAATTATAAAATATTATGTTCCCAATGATTATACACTTAAGGGGTAAATTTACTGGCTAGAAGATCATATCTAAATAATGATCACAAGATGTCAAAAACATCAAGTTTCTATCCATCTAGGTATCCATCCATTCCTTCATTTTTCATTCATTTACTATTATTTACCCTGTGTCAGGCACTGTACTAGGCCCTGAAGATTTAGCAAGGAATGAGCTAGACAGGTCTCTGCCCACATAAAATTTTTATACTGGATACAACCTATGGGATTTATTTTACAGCCAATTCTATTCAATATCTTTACTGATAACTTGGAAGAATAAATATATGTTTTGTAGTTGTACATAAGATATAAAGGACAAAGATGAGTTGAAAGTTATTTTGAGGTTTCTTTCTTGGAATGTCAAAGATATATGGAAAGTTGGGCAGAAATAGATTCAGAAAAGAAGAGATTCTTTTCCTTGCTGAGCTTGTTCTTTTAATGTGCAATCTGCCACATCTTTTACATAGAACTTAAAACAGAAATTGCACAAAAGAGTATATAATTTGCATTACTTGTGCCTAGACATCCTTTTGGATATTTATAATTTCATCAAGCGAATTTTTAGTGCCGTAGGTGCAAATAATAAAGACTCTGAGATGTTCCATCACCCAGAATACTGGACAGAGTAAGAAGTTTAAGGAGCCCTGCACTACCCACAGTCAGCCAGAGGTGGTTTTTTATTCATGTCTAAAGGCAAGGTTGCCTATCAGGGGTAGGAATGTGCTCCTACCTCAATTTAAGGAGAGGCGATATTTCAGGTTTGCTGAAGTGGAAAAGAGGGAAGAGCGCTTGAATACGGGGGGTGCATCATTTTAACGTGATAACAAGGGGACCTTTGCCAGTAGAATTTTCAGTACTGTGCAGGAACTGGATTAGCCTTGAGCTAATTGCCCAGAAGTCATAAATCATATAAAATAAAGTTATGGAGTTTGGAAATGGACAGAAAAAATGTCATAGTTCACATAGAGGTTCAGAGTTGATTTTGTACTTCACCTGGGCATGGAATACCAGCCAAGAAAAGAATCCACAAGAGAATGTATATTAGATAAAGGCAAAAAATGTCACCACGCGGCTAAGGGGTCATTGAGAATGTCAACATTTTTAAGTGTGTTTCTCTTTATGTTTCCTGCTATTACAAATGTAGTGAAATGGTTGCTGAAGAAAGCGGCCGGCAGGGATGTTACTGTGCTGATGATATGTGTGCGCCCCTTTTTTTAAATTGGGCTTCAGTTGCCATTTGCAAAATAAGCCAGGATTCACCCAATGATTCTTTTCTAAAACAAGTCTAAAGCGAAAGTTTATAAAGGCCTTTGAGTGAGTCATTCCAGATTGTATAATCTTTTCCCACTATCACTCATTTCTGTATGTTTGGGCCCCAGCTGGAAGAGAAAGCAAATGCCAAATGGGAACAAAAATGGTTTTTGTTGCGGTGTTTACAGAATAAGCAAGGCCAGGGCTTTAATTGGAATTTCATTCAGAGTCCCATCTGAGTTCCTCAAATGATCCCTGTTGAAGATTAAAAGTTTGTTGCCTTAAGGCAGTAATTCTTAAATGATTTTTTAAAGTGTTTGCTCTAAGGTAAAATTTCCATTACTTTTTAAGTTGTCAACTAAAATATTTTTTATCCTAAATTTAAATGATTGTAAGGGATGTAGTTTTTTGGCATATTTTAAATATTGCATTTCTAAATTAAACATGTAACATCACCCTTTTAAATACACCAAGTGGAATCTAAATACCATGATGATTTGAATCCTACTATCATCCATTTTAAAAATACTTGAAGAAAATTACTTTTTTTAAAAATGTATCTTTATTGTTGAAAGTATGACAGATGCCCCTTTTTCCCCCATTGATCCCCTCCACCCTGCACCCCCCATCCCGGGCCTTCACCACACTGTTGCTTGTGTCCCTGGGTTACAGATATATGCATATAAATTCTTTGGTTAATCTCTCCCTCCTCTACCCCCCATCCCTGCCTTCCCTCTGAGATTCATCAAAATACTTTTAAACAGTCAGACATTTTATATTTTTCTATTCTTGTTTTTGGATTTGTTTTCTTATTTCAGTTCTCCCCATGGAATTTTATCCAAATTGTATACATTTATATGCTTGGAAGTCTTCTATTGATTAAGCTATCAAATGCATATACAATCAAAATTTGTACTTAAAAGTTGAAATTAATTTTCTCTTGTGAACCCAAAGGTGTAAAAGTTAAAAATCTGGATTGCATTATCAATGTGATTTACTGATATGCAATTAATCAAAACAACATTCTGCTCTAACAAAATTTGAAGGATACTTATACAAATTGTAAATTTTATTAGAAATATATCTCAATGAGATGGTTAGGGCTGCTTTTCCCCAATTTGCATTTCCATGAGTAAGCTCTTAAAAGTAGAATGTGTCATGGTACAGCATCAATTCTATCCCTATTTTGATTTTAAAGATTTAAACACTGAGAAAAGTTGTTCACATAAATGAGGAGGTGGGACCGACAGTCCTGTTACGTAGTGCACTCCGGTCGGCAGACCACAGTCCGTGGAGCACGTTCCGATTAGTCCATCTCCCCCCGTATTTCTGAGCTGTGCCCCACCAGTTGGCCGTGACCGCTTTCCAAGCTCAGAACGGGCCTCCGGCTTTACAAGTGAGGGGAGCTCATGTACAGGGAAAAGGGACCGAAACAGCACCATTAAAAATGTCCATTTCTCACAGGCTAGGCCTGACACCAAGTCTGAAAGGCAAGAAGGAAGACAAACTTAAGAACTGAGAAATGGAAGCAAAAAAGATCCACTGTAAATCCCCAGAACAGGCAGCCAGGAAAAGGAACTTGGGGTTCGGCGGGAGCCCTGAGAGCCACGTGGAGGCGGGGGAATCCCTGGGAGCCAGGACCTCTGGCACCCGGGTCCTCGGTGCGGCCGCCGCTCCCTCAGCCGGACTGAACTCGCTGCCCGTTGGGGACCGCGTGCCGGGGGCGAGGCGTGTGCCAGGCACCGTGCCAGACACCGGGCACTGGGCTACAAACAAGGGAGCCAGCGCCCTGTCCTCAGTGGCTCTTGCCGTCTGGTGGGAAAGACTAGGGTGGCGCGGAAGCAGGAGGAGGTCTGATTCCTCAAAACGTGGTGCCTAAGGCCGCTCTCGGCCAGCTCTGCTCTGCTCCCCACCTCTCCCCGATCCCTTCGCAGCCAGGGGCTTGGCTGCCTGCTAGCCACGGCAAGCCCCAGGTCTCTTTCTTTTGCGTGGCAGGCGAATATTCAGTTGCCGTATTTCATAGGGACATTAAACTCTGTGTGTCCCAAACGGAATGATTATCCAGTCGTCCTCCTAACCATTTACACTTTTTCTCAAAAAAAATCTAGGGCTCTAAAAGTCATTCTGGACTCCTAATTTAATGCCCATATTCAATCAACCACCTAATTCCATAATTCTACCTTCTCTCTATTCTACTCTCTTCAGTATCTCATAGAGTACTAATATCTCTAGATGCATCACTTTCAATATAATCTTTTAACCATAGAGTATTGTTTCAAATGTGCAAAGGAGCCAGCCATTCTCCAGCTCGGAATTCATCAGAACCTATTGCCTACAAAATAAAATCTAATTTTGTACGCATAGCAAAATGTTTGGGTGGGGAGGGCGCACCTGTTCTAGGCATTATGTGCTTAAGAAAAATGGAGAAATTAATTTAGAAATCTTAAATAAATTGCCCTTAAGTTTTAGTTTTTCTCTATTAGACCAGTTTGGCTTCCTGTTCAGTCTCTGATCAAAAGTCAGGCTCCCCTTGTACAAGGCAGAAGTGGAAGAAGGCCAGAAATGCGATGTTAGCGGGACGTTTGTCTCTCCAGATACACTCTCCACCCTTCTCCTCCTGCTTGTGCCCCATGAGCTGACTGTATGGTACAGATTGCTTCCATTGAGTTCAGCCATGGGAGGGAGCAAGTAAGGCAGGAGATCAAAGTAAGAGGTGAGTGACGGCAGTGTCTGTGTCCCCTTGGCTCCCTCTCCATCCTGTGGGATTGCCATGGGCTGTTTGGGTCCCTATAGCTAGGTCCTTAGCTCCTAGCTGGCCCCCATTTCCACATAGACCTCTCTGCCTCCTGGTTCCACAGCTACCCTCTCAACTTGAACCTTCAGATCTGGGATATTAGTGGCCCAGGGGTGCTGCGCTATAAATTGTGATTTCCTTAAGCTGCCTACCTTTGTACATAGTCCCTTTATCAAACTCTCTTCAATTTACCCAATTTGCTTACATCATGTGCCTCTTGCTGGATTCCTAATTGAAAAAGTGTTTTGGATGCTTTTCTTTAGGGAAGTTTTGGAATAAACTCATATCAATCCTAGGATGGGTATGCTGCACGGCAGTCTGGAAGGCCCCCACTGGCTCCCTTGGGTTTCTTCCATAGCGCCGTATTGTGTGCTTTCATGGGGTTATGTCTTTAGTCCCTTCCTTACAACCACTAAACACTCACCATGTGATTGTTGCAGCTGCCAGCCACTTTCTGCCTCGGCTCTGCATAAACATG